CCGTCCATCTGTCTGTCTGTCCGTCTGTCTGTAAACAATTTTTCAAAATGCTACTCTTCCTACAGTTTTTGGTCTGATTTCAATATAACTTGGCACACAAGTAGACTACACTAAGATACATGTACATAAAATAGTGCATTGGTTTTTGATATTGATGAACGGTGTGGTCATGGTCACTAAAGATAGAATTTTCTTTGAAAGTCCTTTAAAACGCTACTCCTCCTACAGTTTTGATCTCATTTCAATATAACTTAGCACACAAGTAAACTACACTAAGATGCATAGAATAGTGCATCGATTTTTGATTTCGGTGAACGGTGCTGTCATGGTTACTAAAAAAAGAAATTTCTGTGAAATTCCTTTAAAACGCTATTTCTTCTACAGTTTTGGTCTGATTTCAATATAACTTGGTAGTGAGGTGTCTAGCAGATTTACTGATGCCACGGGAACTCTTACATCGCAAAATTTCATAAAAACGTCTATATATTTTGACAGAAAATTACTATCAAAAGTGTTTTGCCCACCAATTTTATTTTTAAACTGAAAGATGAAATATTTCTAGATTTAGTTCAGCATGAATTATAGTCCTGTTAAATATGTATTGGGAATTACAGTTTATATAGGGGAATTCAAGAACATGAGATAAAAGGATATTTAACTAAATAAGTAATTTCCAAACAAATCTTCGATTACATTATTCCATATTTGGACTACATTGATATTGTTTTTAATAAAATTTCAAATATTCGACACATTCGATGTGCCGCCTATTAATACAATCCTGTCTGGTTTTTTTTCGGCGGACTGCCTTTTAAAGTGTTTCTTTTTTTTGTAAAACACTAAAGAGATTCAGAGGAACATATATACCAAGTATATACCAATAGCGGGTAATTTATTAAACTGATTTATTAAAAACCATTCTATACCTACTAGTGTTTGTTTTCATTTTTTTAAAACATTAATCCAAATTTCAAATGAAATATATCAATATTGTCGTGTTTAAATTACAATATGAAATAGAATTGTCGATTAAATTATGAATAACTGTCTAATTCTTGGTTTCATATTGTGATCAATTGAGTGGCTTGTGTGATATTTTGCAGAATTACACCGCATAAAATTATCACCTACGCAGTTGATTGTTCATCGCCATGAAAAAATCTTACAGTTATTTCTTATATCTAAATGTACATGATCTTGATACCGCACATCCGTGTGCTACTGTAAGTCCCATTTCTGTCTGAACACCTGTGCCTAATCTGTCCAATCTGGAGTTGAATAAGAGTGATACAGACAAGGGGACGGCGCTACCCACACTATCACCGTTAGGGCCGCAAGGGCCAAAAGCAACATTTGTAGATATGGATGTCTTGTCCCCATAAACAATCTTAACGACTCATTATGTGAGAAATTTGACAAACTTATGCAAACAGTAGATCAAATGAGCGAAAAACTACAAAAGCTGGACTCAATCGAAACAAAACTTAATTATTTCGACTTTGAGATCAAAAATGTATAAAGCTCAGTGGCTGGAGTAGAAAAGAGGATGGATGATGTAGAAAAGGCGATGGATTACATGAACCACACATATGAACAAAATAAACAAACCATTACAAGCAATATGAGTACCCTGAATAACTTAGTTCAGGCAAATGAAAAAAATGCAGAGGGCTTAAAACAGCTCATGCACAATATGCAGCTCGACAGATCTGAAATAAAGAGGCTCGATAAGGAGATGAAAAGACACTCAAATATGATCGAAGACATGTCGAAATGGGCAGATCAAATGAGGAGAGAAAAGACAAACATGGAAGAAAAAGTGACGGATTTACAATTTAGATCCATGAAAATGAATCTAGTGTTTAGAGGACTAGGGGGTGAAAACAGAAGCGAAGATACACAAGCAAAGATCAGACAGTTTCTTGCATGGGAGCTTGACATTCACCACCATATCGAGTTTGGTGGGGTAGTGGGCTGAACTTTACCGGAACATCGCATACAGTCATGCAGCACTGGCCGGGCCAAAATAGACTGGGGCGCCTGCTCGACGGTATGGCCGCTAAATTAAAACGCCCGATCTCCAGATCAGGATCCAGTAGCAGCAGCAGAACAGGGAGGAACAACAAAGGAAAAAGTAATAATTAGACATACAGTGATGGTAAACTTTAGACAATAATGAATAAGTTAGATATAATTTCAGTTAACTGCAGGGGTTTAAATACTGCAGAAAAGCGAGTAAAGTTTTATACATGGATAAATGATAGTATGTTTGATATCATCTTTATTCAAGAAACTCATTATATCGAAAAGAATGTTTTTAAATATAATGCTCGCTGGCAAGGTGTATCTGTTCACAACTACTCAGATTCTCAATATAGCAGGGGTGTTTCAATTCTATTTAAAAAAGATTTACCTATTAGAATAATTAGTACGCATAGATCAAACGATGGAAGAAAACTGATGGTAAATATAGAGTATGATGAGAAAATAATTACGCTTGTCAATATTTATGCACTTAATGATATAAACAATAGAACAGATTTTTTTAAACGTACTAAAGACTGGATAAGTAAATACACAGAAAGTTTTGAAAATATGCTGATATGCGGCGATCTGAACTGTGTGTCGGACAACAATAATGATAAAAGTACTCTTTCTTTAAAACAACTTGTGAATAAGTTAAATTTGCATGATTTATGGAAAACTATGAAAAGTGATAAACAAGGGTATACTTGGTGTAATGGAGAAAATACTCCAACAAGTAGAATTGACTATATTTTACTTTCAAATACTTTTTGTTATCAATGTAAAACTATAAGACTCCAAAACATTCCTGGTTCACATTCAAATGGAACAAGAATGTCTGATCATAAATGTATAATTTTCTCCATGTTAGTAAATGAAAATCTTAGAGGTCCAGGATACTGGAAATTCAACACATCTTTAATTGAAAATGAAAGTTTTATCAGTGATATGATAACTTTTCTCAAAGATTTTAATTATGATAGAGAAAACCCAATAGAATCATGGGAAGATTTAAAGAGAAATGTAAAAGATTTTTGTATTAACTTCTCCAAGAATCTATCGAAATCTTACAAAAGTAAAATAAATTTTATTCAAGAAGAATTAAAAAACATAGAAGACCTACCCTATGAAAAAATTGATTTGAATAGAAAAAGAAAATTAGAAAACGAATTAACAGAATTGATAAACAAAAAAGCAAAAGGTGCTCAAGTTAGATCAAGGGCAAACTGGATTGAAAATGGAGAGAAAAACACTTCATATTTCTTAACCTTAGAAAAGAAAAGACAGATATCAAACATAATAAAATCTTTAAATACTGAGCACGGTACTGTTTTTGATGAGGATGAAATATTGCAATCAACATGTAATTTTTTTGAAAAATTATACTCTTCAGAAAATGTAACTGATAATAGGATAGAGGAATATCTCAAAGATTTACAGTTAGAATATACTATAAATGATAAGGAAAGAATAGAATTAGATGAATTTCCTTCAATATCTGATTGTAAAGAAGCAGTGTTTAACATGAAGAAAAATAAATCACCAGGACTTGATGGAATACCTTGTGAATTTTACCAAACATTCTGCGAAAATATTAAAGATTATTATAATTCGACTCTTAAGGAGATTTTTAAAAAAAAACCAAATGGCATATACACAAAGGTTATCTTTAATAACTCTTTTATTTAAAAAAGGTGACTCTAAGAATATAACAAATTATAGACCTATTAGTCTAACAAATACTGATTATAAAATAATAGCATTTATCTTAGCTAACAAACTTCAAAAAATACTAAATAATGCAATACATGTAAATCAATCAGCATACATAAAAGGGTGCAACATAGACTTAAATGCAAAATTAATTGTTGATATTTTTGAATATTGTGAAGAAAATAACATGGATTCAATATTGTTATTTCTAGACTTCCAAAAGGCCTTTGACTCTGTAGAATGGAATTTTATGTTGAAAGTTCTTAAAAAATATAATTTTGGAGAAAAATTTTTGAAATGGATCACCATTTTATATGATGAGCCTGTATTTAGAATAAAAAATACTGGTTGGATATCTAAAACATGTGATATGCATAGAGGTATAAGACAAGGATGTCCTATTTCTGCTATTTTATTCCTATTCGTAGTAGAAGTATTAGCCATTGCAATTAGATCAAATCCTAACATTAAGGGTTTTCAAAAACCAGGAATGACTGATATTATAAAGATTATACAACATGCAGATGACTGCACACTTCCATTAAAAGATAAGAAGTCCCTCAAACATTCTTTAGAGGTTATAGAAAAATTCAGTAAAGTATCTGGTATGAAACTAAACATGTCCAAAACAGAATGTCTTTTAACAGGCCAATGGAAAAACTTGTATCGGCAAATAGAAAATGTTGACGTTAATAATTCTTGTATAAAAGCCTTAGGGATCTTCATAGGGCATGATAAGGAACTATGTTACAATAAAAACTGGACAAAAATTGTAGACGACTTAGAAAAACTTTTTGAATCTTGGAAAAAAAGAAAATTAACAATTCTTGGCAAAGTCTGTGTAATTAACAGTCTAGCAATATCAAAAATTATATATGTTGGGTCAGTTTTAAGTTTTCCAATTGAAAATACACTTAAGAAAATACAAAGTCTAATTTTCAATTTTATATGGAATAAAAAAGATAGAATAAAACGAAACACTCAAATTGGAAGAGTTCAAGAAGGAGGAATAGGTATTGTCGATGTACCTTTAAAATTAAAATCCATAAACGCAGTACAGTTAAGGCAACACATGAAAAAAATATGGTAATGAAGTCATAATGAGGTCTGACGTCATGACAGTTGCTCCGCCCTGATTGATCCATATAAGGAAATGATGCTCAAAATAACTATTTACCGATATTTGCAAGACTTTGTAATAAACAGCAATATCTTCATGTTTAAATTAAAAATAATTAGTGATTTTCTCGTATATAAAATATCATGTCTTTAAAAAAATTCTCTTTTTAATGTGTCGTTTGACTGCATTCGGCTTCAGCCAAGCGCTTGCACTCGGTGACACGGAATGTTGTTTACATCTAAAAACGTGGCGACATCAGCTGAGATTTGCAGTGGATTTAAACGCAATAACCATGATAACCACAGAATCTTTAAAGAAAATAGGGATAAAATAAGACACAAGGCATTGCTTTTCCCTTTTACGAGAATATGAGGACATTATTAGCAGAAAACTGAGACGATTTGCACCAGCTCCGAAGATCCATCACCTGATCACTGCACTGTTATTCCAGGCAAGGTATGTATACGCATTTGTAGGTGCATGTGTAGATCAACAATATGTAGACATGCTTTTGTTAACATAAAAAAAACCCGAGTGTGTACATGTTCTTGTTCATTTAAATCTACGTATTACATGTATCACAGTCGGTGAAAAACTGTAATGCAGTGCCTTGTGTGTAAACCCCCCCCCCTCCCTATACTAAGTTGCACAGTTATCATTAAATTATTATTAAAAATTATTTGCACTAAATATGTACTGAGTTCCGGTCAATTAGCTCATTTTCTTTAAGACAATATGTGTAATAATGGAGGTCATCAGTTACACAGATTAAAACTACATTAAATGAGATGTTTTCATTGTAGTGACATACAAATATGCTACACAATTTTAATCAAAATTATCAGTATCATTTTGTTTAAAACAGAGAACCCCGAACTTAGATCTATGCTTGTAATTTTCTAGAATTTCTAAATTAATGAAAATAATAAATTATTTATTTTTTATTTACATGTACATAAAAATTTTTAATACTTTTATAATTGTAGCTGGTACATGTAAGAGCTTCAGGCTTAAAGATTGATTGAATAAAAAATGCATCATTTCTCCACAGGGTATTATACTTCTAAAGCATTTCACAGTTTTAAATTATGGATGTGCTATACATTTTGTTTTTGTTTTTTTTTTTTTCATTTTGGTGAAGGAGAAACTCAGATTTTTTTTAGAAAATATTCTATCAATAACTTTTGTAAATGTCAAGACTTCACTTACCCAGAGAAGTTTTGTAACACAAATTTTTTTGCCATTTATATGAATAACATAAATGCACTACAGTATACAATGTCATTTTTATTCTACAATTAAGTATATTTAGTAATCTCATAGCATATAACTGCATATATATTGTGTTGTAGGCATAGCTATTCCCAAATGTTGGACTAATGGATTCATTCAGGCAGCAAGTTAATCCATCATTTAAGGAAAATGGTATGCTCAATATTAGCTATAAATCATACAAAGTTTTGATAATAAAACTAACAGAAGAATTGAAAACATGTTTACATTCTATGTTAAATGTTTCAATGCAATTTTTATTTCATTTTTTAAAACACAAATTACTTTCAATAATGGTATTTCATGATTTTCTCATATTTTCAGAATGCATTTTATCCACAAGAACATGAAGTGAAGGAAATAATTTGCACTTATCCAGCATTCCTAGTCTGTCATTGGATTTGAAAAGAAATGTTAACTTTATTAAATAAATTTTCTAGAAATAATAATTTGACTTTTTCATATATTTACTGTACAGGTGTTGAAAAGACTATTAAGATTTTAAAAAGCTTAACTTGCATACTATTTTGTGTGGAGGGTACTTATTTTCAGCATGTGCATTGTGTTCAATAAAAAAAGGAGACAAGAGATCCCCCTAATTGATCAAAAATAGGATAGGGGACCATCATTTGATTCTGAGGGAAGGGGGAAGGGGGGGCTGGCAAGTTTTAGCAAGTCAGATTTTTTTCTTTTTTATGTCAATGAAGGACAGATTAATATCTTTTTTTTCGATCAATAAGATAAAGGACAGATTATTCATTGAAAAGTCTAACAAGCAAAAAATAAATGTAAAAAAACAAACAAACAAACTCTGATTTGTGGGAAGGGGAGATCACTGATCTGCAAGTATTTATTTTTAAAATCTGCCAGCCCCTCTGACACCCTCAAAATAAAATGACTGTCCCCTTAACAAGTACAGGACTATACCCCAATCCTCTCTATTAAGTTCCTAAAACTTATAACTTAGTTTAAATCCCTTAATTAACAGTAAGCAGTCTGATTGAAAGCGATCGTAGAACATGATCTCGTATACAGAAAGAAAAAAAATATTATTAACACAAGTGTGTGTACATGTACCATAGGCGTTGGAAGCAAAATGAAAGGGGGGGGGGGTAAGTGAAAGGGGGGGGGGCTAAACCAAAAGAAATGGGTAAACTCCAATGCCTACATAATAAGTAGGGAGGCTAAGCCCCCCCCCCCCCCCCCCAGGTTCCGACGCGTATGCGTACAGTAGTGAGAGGAGGTATAGATATTTAATTAAATATTAATGGATGCTATATCTTAATTAACAATTTGTGTTCTACATAAATACATGTATATCGGCAATATTTAGACCTATATGTGTGAAATACCACAGTCATGCATTTACACATCTTTGAGGAAATGCGGGACGTTTGAAAGACATTAAATGTATACAATGTATGGAGAACGAATACAAAAAATAGAAAGAAATGTCAAGGATTTTTATGCATACCGTTTTGATTTAGTAAAAAAAAGGGGGTCCAGCCCTGTCCGCATGTATATTTATTAAAATTTACGAGGTAAACAAACTATATCAAGTACTCAAGAGTTGTCTCCCATGCTGGGTCAATGATGCGTTTGAAAACTATAATTAGATTGGCTCTTCCAAGATTTCAATTTTTAATCAAAAAGTGCAAGGGCAAGGCGACAACCTAAAAAGTAGGTTTTTATTTTAAATTATTTATTTTATTGTAAAGTTTTCAAAAAGTGATGCTCATTTCTTTGTAATCCTTTAATTAATTTATAATTCGTGATGAAATTAGGAAAATAGCCTATTTTTCATGCATTACTGTCTGTTTTAGCTGAATAACTTAATTATATCGGAAAACTAACTGAATGAGCATCAGTTTTGAGAAAGTATAGATACATAGAGACAACATAAAATATTGTGCAGTTAATTTTTTGTTTGCCTTGCCCTTGCACTTTTTGGTTAAATTTGACATCTCATTTTTTGACCTAAAATCGGAGCCCACGTGACCTCAGGGGGTCACATGATGTCCAAAAATACCGATGTGAAAAGCGATGGGCATACTCTTCAAGATAACAATTAGCTATTTTTACTAAAGTGTCTTGCTCAAAAATAAAACTATTAAACATTATATGTATTGGATTCCGTGAGTTTTTATAGAAAATGTTGCCTTAACTGTACTGCGAAAGTATCGTGGCTTAAAAACATATTAAGTAAAACAAATTCCTTATTCTTATTTGTTGATAGTTTGTGTAGAGAGAGAAATTTTGATTTTGAATATCTTTGTAAAACAAATGTAATTGATACCAAATATTATCAAATTATGGAAAACTTTCCTTTGTTTTTCAAAGAAATGCTTGTATTTTTTAGTGAATGTAAAAGAAACAAAAGAGAACTAAATTTAAATGCTTTATTAAAGGAACCACTGTGGTGCAATAATAAAATGAAGTTTAAAAACAAGCCTCTATTTTTGTAAATTGGCTGAAAAGTGGTTTTCAGTATATTGGTGATATTGTAGACAAAAATGGTATGCAACCCATAGAATGGTTTAATGATAAACTTGTATGTAAGAGTAATTGGTTTTGTGAATATATGATAATGAAAAATGTAGTTTTGAAAGCTTTTGTAGATTATGATTTTACAAATATACAGTATGAAAATATCAAATATGATAATAATGTATATGATTTACTATACCATCATCAAGTAACAGTTTTTGATATTACTTCAAAATTGATTTATAGCATTTTATGTCATGATAAATTTAAACCTCCGTTACATCAATATTATTATGAAAAATTGTTTGAAATTCCAAAAGCTGCTTGGAAATCTATATATGAACAAAAAATATTAGCAATTGTAGATAGAGGAATATCAGACTTTAATTATAGATTATTAAGTAACTTATTGTGTAATAGAGTAATGTTGAAGAAATGGAAACATGTTGAAAATGAATTGTGTGTCTTTTGTAGAGATGTAAAAGAAAATAATGAACATCTTATTCTAAAATGTCAAAATGTGTCTCACATATGGGATGTTGTACAGGAAGTTTTGAAATTTGATGTATCGTGGAAAAATATTGTTATTGGATTTTATAATGAAAAAAATGAAAAGATATTATTTTTGAATAGTATAATATCCCTGATTGCATGTAAAATTTACAAATACAAAATGTACTGTAGACTAGAAAACAAAGAAGAAAAGTCTAAAGAAATATGTTATTATATGAAGAGTATGTTGAATATTTATTCAGAAGTATATAAGAAAATTCACCACATGAAATATTGTAATATTATAAAATGTATTAAAGACAAACTATAATTCATCAACCCATTGTAGAATAAGCCTGTTGTTCTACAAATCTTATCTGGGAGACAATAAATAGACTTTTTGAACTGGAGGTGTGGTCTCCCAGATATGTAAAGGTACTTACAATTATACATAAGTTACTCAGCTGTATTTTTAAAGGACTTTTCTTCAATTTGATATTTTGATTATTTATTTCAAATATATGATTCTCACATGACAAATAGAAAGAATGTAATTGTTCAACTAATCTAATCAATGTATTGTACATGTGTGTGACATGTATATTATGTTTTTGTTATTTGTAATAAATAAATTTAAAAAAAAAAAAGAGTTTGGAAATGTACACAGATATGGGAGATATGTCAAAGGTAGACATCGCCCAATCGTCGCCCGCTTTCTGTACCAGGAAGATCTCGAACTAGTACTCGAGAGATCCAAGTGGCTCAGAGGCTCCAATTTCGGCATACACCGTCAATACCCGCCGGCCATGGAGGAACGTAGACGTCAACTTATCCCAGTGATGCGGCAATACAGAGATGCGGGTGCATACGTAAAACTAGTGCGCGACAAACTGTACGTAAATGGCTACCTATACAAGCCCGACGTACATTATGACAAACTTGACGAGGAGCCAACGGATAACGCCCACGCTCCCCAGCGCCCACCACCTCAGGAGTCCGATGTACGTAGGAATAGTAGATAGGGAGACGTGGTCGCTAATACGGACAATTGTGATTCCAATACAAGGGAATGCGACAAGTACACGGGCCAGTTAAAATGGACAAGTAAACCATTAGAAAGAAATAAAATAGCAGAGAATGTAAGTGACCTTAGTATTATATCGTGGAATGTTTGTCGTTCACTGTTAGAGAAATTACCAAATGAAGAATTTTTGGCAGTTATTAATTCATTTGATAGCATTTTTCTCTGTTAAACATGGATAAGTAAAGATGATTCGTTTGTGTTGGAGAATTACGATAAAATTGTTATACAAAGAGAAATCAAAGGTGGAGGTATTGTCATTTTATATAGAAATACACTGCCTTTCAAAGTATCTGTAGTAGATATTATTTTTGATAGTATTGTATGGTTAAAACTATGTACCGTAAATTAATGCAGCAACAGCAATTTTTATATTTAGCATTTTGTTATATATGGAAGGGAATTACCGCCAAAAGTCCATGTATGTTGCTTTTATTCTTATTCTGCCTACTTCTTTATGCTTTGTTATTATTGTAATTATATGTCACTTTATTGTTTTCATATTCGTCTTTATTACATTTCACTTTGACTTTTATCCTTCTTCATTTAGCCCTTACTTCTATGTTGCTTTATTCTTGTAAATTCATTCTACTTTCTTTTAAATTGATACAGTTTCTTAAATAATTATTTCTATTAAGAACGTGAATTCAATCACACAAAGAATGAAGCATATTCAATGAAGACGAAAACAGTTGTCAAAATTTAGTGCCGCATTATAACGCTAGGTGAGAGGGGTGTTCGCTACGAGTGTTGGTAAAACTAGGTAAGCAAACCCGGGCCGGGATTATTCGAGATTTTTCAATTTTCTGCCTTAATACTTTATAAATCGAATCCATTCCAATGATGGAAACTCCATATTTATTTTCTCTGGGCACACAGGAATAGTGGCCTCTTTTTTCAGACATAACTTTATATACATTACTGAATATGTTCATTGAAAGGCCGACCCCCTTTTTTTAAGGGTAAGGGTCAAATAAGGTTATATAGTATAGTAGGGAGAATATTTAAATTTGATACTATAGAAGAAGTTGAATCTAACCCAAAACCCACCCGCCCCGAAATAGGATTTCATTTGCGTCGGAAGCAAAGTGAAAGTTGGGGGAGGGGTGTAAAAAATATTTTTAGATAGACCTTCAAAAAAATATTGACAAGCAAAAAAAAAAAGAAATGTCCACTGTACAAACACGAAACTCCTATTTCGGGGGGGGGGGGGGGGGGGTTCGAACTTCAGTGTCAATTTCTTTTCAAAACACCACCACTTTCCCCATTTTAAACCTATCCTGCACCGTGTCCATGGAAAGTGGGGGTGGGGGGGCTAAACCTACGCAGCATTGTTCAATGTCTATACTAAGTCTATATTTGGAGAAAAAAGGTGGGGGCTAAGCCCCCCCCTCCCCCTCCCCGGTTCTGACGCATATGTATTTTCAAGTTTTGACTATTTCCTTGTTTTTATTATTATTATTATTTTTATTATTTTATTTTTTTGCTTGTCAAGTTGTTTTCAGCCGGGTAGCTTGATTTTTCAAAAACGATTCTACTTCACTGTTTTCACGCCTGAAAAAT